TTAGGCGTGACTCCAGAATGTGAAACAACTTCATCATGTTCATGACTTTTGAATGATGATACATGTTGTATTACAGGTGTGTGAAGCGCTAGCTGAAATACTGATATTCAAAATCAGTACTATGAATTGTTTACAATTATCTGTTTCGCGGGAAACAACATTTGAACATTGGAGCTGTTTCCTTGTTGATTAAATCTCTGGCTAACAATGTCTTTGGCAAGCAAAATATGCAATAGGATTGTTTTCCTTTCCGTTCATTTATAACATCAGCCTTTAGTTAATCAATAGTAAAATCGCTTAATATTTACTTAATTTTGACCGTTCTATTTCACTTTCATAATTATATGAGTTTTGTGTGAATTTCACATAAATAAAATAACTAAAATATGATAATCTAAAGTTTAATTGTTTTAAGTTCTCCAATTGCTCTTTGTCCATCTATATTTAATTGATTAGTATTATCAATACCTGATTGAATTAATATAGGTTTTACTAATAAAAAGAATAAAATAAAACATACTTAAAAAAAAAAGTTTTTGTCTTATATTTACATTTTTATTTATAATCCCTAAGTTGTTGTTGCAAATCTTTAAAAACAAAAATTATATATAAAAAAAAATATTTATTTCAACATACCAGTTATTTTTATTAATATCTGAGTTTGATTTTGTTCCTAATTCATTAAGCTAAAGAAGAGAAAAAATAAGATTAATAAAATAAAATTTTGTTTTTCTTTGTCTATTCCTTTAAGAAAATGGTTCCGGCTTTTCTCAGCAAAAATGAATGAATAACGGATTGACACCACATCGGAATAACACTAAAAATTGAGTTTTGCTTATAATCGCCCTTTCCCTCAGAAAACTGTTCCTCTTTTCAAAATCCTAGATCCGCTACTGAAATGAAAAAAATTGCTGAATTGTTATATTACTTTTTTAGCAGATATTTTACTTTGAACACGAGTTATAAACATCTTATTTTAGCCTTAAATCTCAGTGTCCTTTTGATAAATAAAGCAAAAGTGGTTTATTTTGCATTAACCACAAGAGAACCATGAAAATCTTACTAACCTTGAATAAATTCAAAAACTGTGAAAACGTTTTGAAAACCTATATAATAGAGACCAAGTCTATTACAAATCAGGCTATTTTGCAAAAAAAGAAGAATATATACGGAAAGAGTAGACTACCATATAGCTTTCTTAGACACAAACTTGTTGTTTTGTTCAAAAGAAAGGATTTTCTAAAGATCGGAGAAACGTCCTTACAAAAGAATCTACGAGGAGTGAAACAACATTAGATATTTTATGTTAATTTACTCGCATTCATTTCAAAGTCTTTCATTCATGAAGAAGAAATGTATTGTCTTTTCAACTTAATTATACACATAAGGAAAACATAATAGGATCTAGAAGACTAGTCACGAGGATATTTGCCAACAAACAGACGAATAGTTCATTAAGTGCGGAAATAAACAGAAGAAAATATTTCTAATTAACTGGAATAAACTTTCGAAATATTGCTAATGATTATCATAATCAATATCTTGTTGATAATTCATTTGGGTATAAAATCTATGTTAGTCACATCATAGTTCATAATTAATACAATCAAATCAGTGATTCTCACGAGAATCTTAAAAAATGCTTTGCTGCTGCTCCTCCAAAATAATAGTGTCGAATATTCTGAAATTTAGTGATGCACATTGTCTCTCTCATGGAAGATGAACTTTCCTCTTATAGAAGATGTCGAATCTTGTGCAAGGAATTTACATCACCCAAGGAACACTGCTTGGTCGATGTCAGAAGAAAGTACATCACGAAATTTCATCATAGGGGCCATCATTTATTCACAACTGATCTCTTACATTATTGATCGAGGAAATATTGAACAAATACACTCGAACGAAGAACATACAAATGTCAATATCGTGTACAACTGCACACTGATTTGAACAATATTCTCATTCGAATGATCGGTGATTATGAAAATCACACTGAACAAGTATATTGTAAACTGTTACGACAGTACTACGGTCGCTTGCGTTAGCTTTTTGTTGTTCCTCTATGCTCTGTTATTTGTTCGGCAGCGCTTCTCATTCAATAAAATATTGGCATATATTTCTCAGATAATCAGTAATTGAAAAGCTTTTAGACGAGATATTTGTTCACTTTTGTTTCGCTAGAAAGTATTTCTGACGAATCAAAAACTATAAGATAGGATCCGAATTTTATGTTCCTTTCGAATATAAGCTTGAAAATATTGTTTCTCTTTTTGTTCTAGAGTAGTAACAGGCTTTTTGAAAGACCTAAAAAATTATTTTTTGATGGTGAGCTAATAGGTTAAGTTCATTTTCGAACATGCTAAAAATGTCGAAGTCAGTCATTTTCTCGGCCGAGTACTTCTCTACAAAATGTCATATTCAACTAATTCGTTGCTTTTACTCAAAGGAGGCTACGACAAGAGCGAACTTTTTGCCCCTTGGGCTAAAAGCATTTTTTCAAGAGCTTCTTTCAACGTAAAATTGTTTTTTGATCAAAAAGTTGATTTCTCAAAAAAAAAACATTTAGAACAAACGAAAGTTGAGATGCCTTATCGGAAGACAAAAAAAAACTTGAAATAATGCATTTTGTTAGTTAGCTTCTGATTTGCAAGCTGATATATAAATAATGATCTTAATTTTCAGTTTCAAATTGCACTAGTGAAAATTCAAAAATTTTCCATGCGAACTAATTTCAAAGATATTTTCACTAATCTGGAATCTAAGTCAATATATTCGAAAAGAGCACACAATGTCGCTTCTACCTCGTAACTTTTAACCTGTCAGAAATACTTATTGTAAGTGAAAAGTAAATAAAAATCTTTCCTATCAACTGTATTATTCAACTATCCGTTTTCTTGCGTGCAACCGTTCTAGGACTGAGATGAAAGCTTCTTTGTCTAATCTTTAATTAATTGCATCATCATCTGTACTTTACAAGCCAAAATTAAGTATCATTTTAACATTTATTTTTCTTGATGAAAGCACTAGAAAATGGTGCATTATAGTAAGTATGATCGATATAAACTTATTATTTGTTTACTTTTAATATTTTCTTGATTTATTCAACACAAACAAATAGAACAAACACAAAAAACTTAATCAGTTATAGTAAGTTCATCAATACTCCAATCTTCATAACTTCCATCAGGTAAATAACGTCGAATAATTATTGGAATTTTCTTTTCTTTTAATTCTCTCATTGCAATTTGTAATGGATCCGTTTCACCATCAGGTTCAACCATTAATGGTGCACACATTGCGATTTGTAATGCTCGTGTACCTAATACACGTGCTCGTTCATATTTTGTCATATATGGTGTTGTTATTCGTTTTGATGGATCTGTTCTCAAACCTGATTGTGGTCCATTAACATCATCTTCATTAAGAATTTCCATTCTATCATCACCTTGTAATTGTTGTTTATCTGTTTGTGTATTTTGATCACCATCAACATCTTGTTCATCTTCATTAAAATCATCTTCATCCATATCTTCATCCATACCAACATCACCACCTCCATCATCATAATCACCATCATCAGCCATCTAAAACATATGGAAAATTGAATTGTATTCGTTAGTTCATTCTTCTTTTTTTTTCTCGAAGAAAGTAGTATAGTCTAAGATAATCTTTAGAATAGTCAATCTGTGTGAAAAGGAAAAGAAAAAGAATTCTATGTAATAATAATCCTAACGACATATCTATCTAATTGAAACAAAGAACCGTCAGCGCAATAGAAGAGATATGAATGAATCATTGCATTCGTGAAAATGATGTAATAAATGGATGAGTAAATGGTGAAATTTCTTGACGATTTTTATACTCAATATCTCCTTCCGAATAATGTTTACCAATAAAAAAGAGCTTCTTCTTTTATAGTCAGACATTGGAAAAACTCTGATTTCTATTTGCTGAAACTTGGATTGCAAAACTTTTTATAGAGGGCGCTAATTAATATTGTTGCATTTTTGTAAATTCGTTCATGTAGGGGTGGCGTAAAAATATTCTATAACAGAGTTATAGCTGCCAATTTTCTATCGACATTTGACAATTCTATTGATAATCAAAATTTTTTAGAATTATTTGTTTCGTCTTTCATTCAGAGAAATAAAACAAATGATGTTCATGACTTCGATGAGTAACCGATCGAGATGTCTTCTTTATATTCGATTCAAGTGATAGATCGTATTTCAGTTGGCAGAGATATTTTTTTGTTTTTTGGCAATCATTAAATCGATACATTCTGTTAGTTGTCAGGTAATTCTTTCATTCATTACATTTCTGATTAATTGCTCAAAATAAAAGTAACCGCTTTCAAACTATCAAAATTTGGCTAGATATTTCAATTTTGAGAAAAATCGGTGTCTAATTTAAAGAGTCGTCAGCGTTTTTCAGTAGGAGTGAATCCAATTCAATTGTTAAACTTCATTGGATTTGGTCGTTGTAGAATTATTAATAGTAAACAACATATTTACATAAACTAATTATTCGATACAAATTGTTTTAAAGAGCAAATCTAAATATTATCAATCAATCTTGATGCATTTTCAAATCACTTATATGAATGAAGCTGAATCATTAAAAAAAATTGATTTACAACAATGATAGCTTGTCAATATGTTATGATAGCTCATCAAAACATTTGCTGAAACATAGGATTTATTTTTAAGTTAAAAAAAAATGAAATGGAATAAGGGTGTGGGTGTCGATTCATAGAAAACGTTAACTCAGTCTCACGCTCACAACAACACTTTTTTAATTCGAGTTTTCGAAATCTTCCGAGAACAGCACATTTTCGTACATGTTTTAGTACCATTTTGTAGTTCTCAATGAGTTCTCTCTATCCCCTAGATATAGTGCTTTCGTATCGGAGTTAAGTGATGATCATAGGCACTGCATGATGCTATTTTGAGAAGAAATTTGCTGTGGATAGGCCGATTGATTATCTCGTCGAATACACGATGAAGTATTCATGTGAATCGTGACTGGTATAGTGTTGAAGTGAGAAGCATTAATTCTAAAGTCGAACTGATTTCTGAAGTGATTTTTGAAATACGGCCGATTTGTAGATCAATCGTCCCTCTCCTTTGAAAACGTTGTTCCAGAAAGTGAATACAGTAGCTTCTCTCAGAAAGCTGTTATTTCTTCTCTAAGCCAAAACTAATAGGAGTGAACTTTTTTTCACTAGCTTGTTATCGAAATAGATCTTTCTCTTTTCATACGGTCTGTATGCCGTTAGCTCTATAATTGGAAGCGTTAAAACTAGGGATGCAGAATTTACCCGTAGACTAAATTGACGCTACGGGGAAAAACCGATTTCTTGGGGAAATCAGGGAAAATTAGAGTATCTGAGACTTTGTCTCACATGCCTATAGGTCGAAGAAACTTCCCATATGTTTTCCGATACTCTAAGTAAGTTCCGTCTGATTCTGCACCTTTGGTTAGAACCCAGTTTATGTCATTTGTCATTCTAAACAATAACCTGCAAATGTATGTCAAAAAATGTTAAACACTAGTCGAAGGAATGAAATTCGAATCAGTTATACATTTTCATAGTTTTAGACATTGTACAAAATAGACTGTTTACATTCTTTTCTCTTTCTTTATTGTTAACAAAAACGTCCTTATCATTGCGCGTGTCACCAAAATATGACATTTTCTTGTTATACGCCACTCACAAGTCGCTGATAATATGAGATAAAGAGCTGAAATTTTGTTGTAGGTGTAAGACAACTAGAGAGAAGAAAACATCTAAAAAAATCGTACAAACCAGCCTACAAGAACAAGAGTTATTAGTCAAGTACTACTTCAATTTCAATCGTACCAAAAAAGTTGCAATTCACTCATATATGTTCTTTCGTTCTCTATACATATTATGAAAGAACGTACATACGATCGAATAAAGATTACTCACTTAGCGTATAACTATGTTTTCAGTAGAGGAAATGGTCATGGCTACGGACATTTTTTCTAATAGCTCAAGAATGGAATTATCTAGAAAGGTGCAGTTTTCACTGTTGTGTAGACATTTGAGTACCATATCTATCTACTAATAAAAGATTGAAAGCGTTGTCTTGTCAAGCAATGTTTACTACCCATCTTTGAAAGATTTGGATCTGATTATCATAAATTTTATGTTGATCCATAGGTTTAAAAACATGCAGAAGGTAGTCAATAGGATCCTCAAGAAAATGACAAAATCTAATTTCTCTAGCTCTGATGATTCAAAAAAGGGCAAGTATTTTTCTAGTAAATATGGTGACACATTTTCCAATAGGATGAATTGTGAATATGTATAGTTAAATACATTGTTGATTATGATCTGTTTCGTATAATGACCTAATCTGGTTTGTAAACACATTTTTTAAATGAAGATGAAAAGTTAGATTACGTAGGAAGCGTATAGATCAAACACGTACGACTAAAGTACAAAAGAAACCAAAAAATTATAATTTTATCAGTAATACATTGCATATGATATATTATAAAACGTCATTCATTGATACAGACGAAGTTTTTTCAATGTCTTGTATTCGCTACATTACATAAATACTCTTTAGACCCTTTAGATATATCGAATTTCCTTTTTTATATTATTGGATTCGACCAGTGCATATACTTAGAGGATTCCTCGTTATGATTAGTGTTGATGCTATTGCTTTCGAAAGAATCAAAATCTTGAATAGAAAAAAACATGGACGAATTTCAAAACATCGATAGGTACATTTTCAGATTAACGACGTCTGAGCATACACAGTCTTTGGTGTGCTTGTATCAATGATATCAATTCATATATACAGTATTGTCAAACTGAACAATCACCTTACTTTTTACATATTAACAATATTTATTTTTGAGTTTAATCAAATAAAATTCATATTAATCTTTATTTTTAAAAAATATTCGACAATTTTGGAATAAATATCTAAGGTTTCATTCTAAAGTTCATATAATAAGTTATAAAGAATGCGCTTTTTGATTAATGTTTCAATGAAACAACGATGATTTGGCGAATTGACAACTAACGAATGACAGAAAGTGCCAGACACGAAAACAAAATAGTATTAGTATTGTCTGAGGTCATCATATTAACATTTGTTCTTCATTGTTGTGATCGATAGCAATGAGGAAATGAAGACATATATATTGAACGAAATCGATAGACAGTATAGTCATTAAACATGAATACTTCAACGGACAACAGGATCAATATTCTCAATTTACCCAATGAAATATTATTTAATATATTCAACAAATTGGATTTGATCGATGTACTCTTTTCATTAGTGAGTGTCAATAAACAATTTAATCGATTAGTGTTTGATCTTCTTTCTATTAATAACCTTGATTTGACCGTGAAATCCTCGTTTAGGCGTATATCTTCGATACATAATCAAATGCTTGATAGAATTTGTGAAAAAATCTCAACTTGAATTCATCATCAAGTAAACAAACTCACTTATATGCTGTTCTGACTATAACTTGATTAGCGACATTTTTTTTTTTTTTTGACAATTATGGAAAATATCGGTGAAGCAGAATCGCAGAGAAGAGAAAAATGACTACAATTTGCAAAAATGTTTGCATTGCACAGTCAAGACAAGATTTCTTGAATGAAGAAAAAACAAGTAATGAAGGAATGTTTAACATTAAATTATTGCTACTTTGATAATTTATTATTCTTTTTATCAGTCGTATTGACTAGGATGATCTACCGATAATAAAGAAAATGTAATCGCTTCTGTGAACTATCGATATTCAAGTGTCATTTTAAATACGCTTCTTTTACTTGAATGAAAATATGATCGTTTGTTCTGATGTTACTCCTCGAGGCCATGTGGACTTTGTTCTTTTTGAAATCGAACCATTTATTAATTCTTCTTTTAAAGTTCTGAATAAATCAACTGGCTTCGTAGTCCAACATTTATCATGAGTTGCCTAATTCGACTTATAATATAAATGCATCCTCAACAGTCATATATCACTTATAAAATAAATCGATATATATCGGAATAGATTTAGTTACAGTTATATAGATATACATAGATACCCATGTTATTCGTAGGAATAGATTTAGTTTTAGTTATAGTTATATAGATATATAGATATACATAGATACCTTTGTTATTCGTAGGAATAGATTTAGTTTTAGTTATAGTTATATAGATATACATAGATATACATAGATACCCA